CCTTCATTTTAGTAGGTGAATGGGATGATTTGCCAATGGAATCAGTATTTTTACTCTTATAATAAGATTATTAGATAATATCCACTTGAAATAAGACAATGCAGTTGCTTTTTCTTATTTTAAATGTAAATTGTCTTGTTCCATTGGCAAAGCATCTCACTTACCTCCTCAATTCAAGAACAAATGCACTTAGTTTAAGAAAAAATGACTGATTTAGATTTCCATTTTTTGCAGTGTAAAAGTATTGTTCTGAGCTTTAATGTTTTTTTTTTCAGACTTTAATGTAAAATAGAGAGACACCCCCGACACTGCTCCGTCTGCGATAGCGTAGCGTCTTTCTCTTCTCTTTTCTGCAATCATGATTGCAGCTGCAACAGAGCCAAGCTTTAGTAATGACCCTTTTAGCTGTTAATATAGTTCAGATTTCAACAATCCGCTCCTCTAAGAAAAACTTTTCTTTTTTTAACATTCATAGTTATTTGAATGGTTCTGAACTGTTTCCTCTGTTAGTCCCGCCTTTTTCTTTTTGCTCCTTTTTAGACTTATATGATGTTTACAGGAGATGAATTAGTCTGGTTGGCCAGACTGTGTGTGTGCTGGTTGTAAACGCTGCTGGTTAGCAATGCTGGAGGCCGCACATCCCTCGTTTCTGGACAAATGTTCCTTCTCCTCGTTCAAGATTTATTCCTAGATCCAGAATCATAGGTCTATCCCTCGCCTCAGTTTTTAATTTTCCATTTAGCCGATTCTGGACCTAAATCCCAGTTCTTCCATGTTTCTACTCACTGTGTCCCTTTTTCGTTTGTTGTTTCGGATCCAGTTTGCTTTGAGTTTTCCATCCTGCTGCTCTCACTTCAGTCTTTTTCCATCTGAATTTTTACTCTTTTCTGATCTTCTCATTCTGGTTGTTCCCAGTCAGCTGGGAACAACCAGCATCTTTTTAAGCTGCTGACTAGTTTTGACATTTTGAGCCATGCAGCTGTTAGTTGGTTTGCACAAATTTTTCCTTCAGTTTATCTATAGAAAAAACTAAAACGACGTACCTTTAATTACTTCACTGCCGTTAAAATTCACAAAATTAGAATCCGCAGTAAAAGGTAACAGATTTAAATCAGGGATTTATTTGATTAATCATCGATTAAAAGAGTGTTTTTGTATTCTGCCTTTTAACTATAAGTTTAACGATCTGCAGTAAAAGCATTTTTTCTGCTTACATGTTCTGTTTCTGTAGGTGATGTCCAAAGGTGCAGTTGTGCGTCATGGTCAAGTCCCGGTGATGGTCCAACCAGGAACTGGTAGGAAAAAACTCAGCTAATTAAGATGATCGGAGATTAACAGTTTTACAGCCGCTTCGTTACGACGTTAAAGTCGAAACGATTGACTTGATAAAACCAATTAATTTGTCAGTTCAAGAAAAAGCACAATTATTTTAAGAAAAATTACTTATTTAGATTTTTTTCAGTGTGATTTTTGGCTAATTAGCAAAAAAAATGTAAATATTTTTCCTTTTTTTTATGTAATTTTCACTTTTTTCTTCAATGGCATCCGTCCCCAGTCAACAAAGGGGAGCTGAGCTTCAGCCTGAGTCAGGTGATGAAGCTGGCACCAGTTGCTCAGGTGTCTGTTTACTTTGTGATGGCCAATGGGGAGATGGTGGCAGACAGTCAGGACTACCCCATTCAGCTCTGCCTCAATAACAAGGTAAGGAACGCCAAACAAGCCGCCACATGGAAAAGCAGGGCTCCCCTGACACCCATCTTACTGGTTTCTCACCAGGTGTCCTTGAAGTTCTCCTCCCTTCAGCAGCTTCCAGCGGAGAAGACCACTCTGACACTGAATGCCAACCCTAAATCCCTGTGCTCTGTCCGAGCCATCGACCAGAGCATCCTGCTGCTGCAACCAGAGCAGGAGCTCACCGTTGACTCCGTACGACCGCCAGCGTCTGGTTGAGCGTTTGGTTTTTAACTGTATAACAATCCTCCAAAGGTTTAGACTCTTCTCCTCGTGCCAACAGGTGTTCAGCCAGCTGCCTGTACAGCAACTGTGGGGGTACGACTACGAGGTGGATGACCACGATCTGTACCCCTGCTTCCCCGGGCCGGTCCCCAGGCCAGTCCCGGATCTGCAGGCCGCAGTTGAACCTGAGGCCGTCGAACGACTCGGTCGGAAAAAGCGATCCTTCTTCTTTAATCCGTTCTATCAGAAGATTGATGCCTACAGCGCCTTTAAAGTAAAGATTCGCTGCTCTGTGTCTCTCATTATGGATATCCTCTCACTAAGCTAGTCCACCGTCAGCCTCCTGCTGTGTTTCAGGATTTCGTTCTGCCTGTGTCTTCTAGGGCATCGGAGTCAAAATCATGACAAACTTCGATGTGAAAAAGCCCCAGAACTGCTCACTGTTTAAGTTTAACGGTATGTTTGGCCGCCTCTTGTTGTTCTGTCCAACCTTTAAGTTGAAGGCAGTGACTGTGATATTCTACACTTTATTTAGGAATGCCAGAGGCTCTTCCCTTGCAAAATGAGATGCAAGTACTATTTAGATCTCAAGTTGGAGAAGCTACAGAGACAATTAGAAAAGACTTCCCTGAGACATGGATCTGGGACCTGGTCTCTGTGGGGTGAGTACAGTAGCAGAATGACTTTATAGTTCTCTCTTCTCTTTCATGTCTTTGTAGAAGTAGCCAGAAATGGAGCCAAAGTCGTATTTAAATGTCAAATAATTCTGGCTTAAACATGTATATAAAGGTACTCTTTATCAGACGATATTATCCCAAAATTTAGAAAATTACTATTT